TAAAATTTAAAAGATTGCATCTTTTTCCTAAATTTATTATAATAAGTAATTAAAAATGTTTGTAAACCATCCAACGTGTGTCAAGTAATTGCTTTGGGCATTTGGACGATCAATAGCTATCACACCATGTTGTCATGTGTCAATTCTGTCGACAATGGTACATGGTGTCAAGTTAGCACTACATATTAAATTTTGTTCGAAAAAGGGTCAACTCAATTTTTTCCAGAAAAACGAAAGCTACAAATTTTTTCTTTCCACAACAAATTTTAAAGTTAAAAGCTACAATTAATGGCATAGTAACATATTGGATATCTCAATTCTATCGACTAGGTGTATGGTGCCAAGTTAGCACTACATACCATTTTTTCTTAAAAAACGAAAGCTACAAATTTTTTTTTCCACAACAAATTTACAACAAAAAAGCTACAATTAATGCCGTTGTAACATTTTCAATATCTCAATTCAGTCGTCAATGATGCATGGTGTCAAGTTAGCACTACATACTAAATTTTGTTCGAAAAAGGGTCAACTCAATTTTTTCCAGAAAAACGAAAGCTACAAATTTTTTCTTTCCACAACAAATTTTAAAGCTAAAAGCTACAATTAATGCCGTTATAACATTTTCAATATCTCAATTCTATCGACTAGGTGTATGGTGTTAAGTTAGCACTACATACCATTTTTTCTTAAAAAACGAGAGCTACAAATTTTTTCTTTCCACAACAAATTTTAAAGCTAAAAGCTACAATTAATGCCGTTATAACATTTTCAATATCTCAATTCTATCGACTAGGTGTATGGTGTCAAGTTAGCACTACATACCATTTTTTCTTAAAAAACGAGAGCTACAAATTTTTTCTTTCCACAACAAATTTACAACAAAAACACTACAATTAATGCCGTAGTTAACTTTTCCAATTTCGAAAAGTGTAGTGCTAACTTGACACACGTATAATGTAAAGATATACCTTTCTTAACATCCCCGTCAAGTTTCATGACGAAATTCGTGATAGTTTTGCGAAAACACTCAAAAACCGATCTAATGGAAAGCCAACCCGCGGAATTATTTTTGGGTATTGTTTGCATATTTGTACAACGATTTTGGGGTGCTTTATCCAAACGCGCCTTTCGAATCAAAAAACTTTTGCACACGCTTTATTACAAAAATAAAATTTACTATATCTGTGCACTAATATATTAATGTCGGTTGGAAATATGGTATTTTTCGCACGTTTCCGAGCTGAGCTGCCAAACAAAAAATATCCACGAAATATCTCTGCAAAAGGTGTTCAGCCCCTCTTCTTGGCAAAACAGAAAGGAGAATTCTACTTAGTGAGGGTTATAACCCCTAAGCGTGGCCGAAGGCCACCTACGCAGAGAGGTGTTCTCTGCAAAAGGTGTTCAGCCCCTTTTCTTCGGACAGAAAGGAGAGTTCTACTTAGTGAGGGTTATAATTCCTAAGTGCGGCCGAAGGCTGCCTACGCAGAAAAGGGCTCTCTGCAAAAGGTGATCAGCCCCTCTTCTTCGTCAACAGAGCAAGGAGTACTGAGTACTTCTAATAAAGCGTCATCCCTTCCCCTCCTCCCCCACCCCAAAATCGTTGTACAAATAAGCAAACATTTCCCTTATTTTTACGTAAAATCATGCAGCACCATCTGTGCTCATTTCCAAAACTTGGAATAATGAAATTTGTATGGTGAATTAACCTTTGACAGTTAATACACTTTTGATTAGAAATCTCCGCAGTCTGGAGTCTTCACTTTTAGAATCTAAAAATGCTCCTCTATCCCCCCTCCAATTTTTTTTATCAAATTTGAACCGAATTTAAGGAAAATTTTCCCCATATCGTCGTTTAGAGTACAAAACCGAGTATCGTCACTCTGCAAAACCGCGTAACTGACATTTGCTACCAAAAATTGGATTTGCTCACACAAGCTCTTGGCTCAATCCTTATCCATTCACCCTGAAATATACTAGCCGGAAATTCGAATGCTTTATAAAAAAAAGAACCATTTTGAAATATGAGTGTTTTTACTTTCTAGAAAATAATTTATGCAACCTCACATACACGGTTTTGCATTATCTTGATAAGCGGTTTTGCATTTTGTTGATATACGGTTTTGTACTTTAAACAGCGATATGGAGTTTTGCTTTTCTTTTAACAGCCAAAATGTCGTATTCAAAGTTTTGCGAAATAATATTTAGTAGTAGTAGTAGATTGGCGCTTACACATATGTCATTGTTTGGCCGAGCTTCTCCAAATAATATTTACTTGAAGAAAATTGCTATACGTTTTTTTCCTCCTGTAAAATTTTTAAAATGAGACTTTGCAACTTTTCACTGTAAGCTAGCGATATGTATGTACGTATGTACATATGTACATATGCACTATATCTGGAATCTTACCTGAAGGTACAAGCGTGCATGTGAAGTAATATTTAAATGAAACCCAAAATGTGCGAGATGATAAGAAAGCTGAGTGGTGGACGGGAAAGGAAACACCATATGCAACAGCTGCTTATTACCATGAATTTTTCAGTAAGAGTGGTTAATGCCAGGCTAAGCAACTGGACGAGTTAAAGAACCGGATTAAACGTTGTTCAGGGAATGGCGAATTTAAACTCACTGTCGTTGTAAAACGTAGAAATGATGACGCTGTTGAACCCACGCGTTGTTAGCCTTATTGCACTTGCTGCACCACTCACTAAAAACGCAAGATTGCACTAGTGTACTGGGCCAAAGGCAACTGGTTTTTTTTATATATATAATGGTTTATTTTTTTTCGGTTTACTGCAGATACGACGGCGATGACGTACACATGTATTCTGGAAATTCTCACAATTTGCCTTACTTCTGTTGCAACATTATTGTAGAGCACTTCGATGCTATAGATATTTTATTTATCTAACATTTACATCCTTTTTTCACAATATATAAACATATTCTTCAGCATGTTCAGATAGCTAATTGGGTTTTGAACCAAAATTAGCATGTAACATGCACGCAATGCTTTAGTAAGGCGAACAAAAGAATTGATATCAATTCCAGCTTCTTTCACATTTTATTGATTCAAGCATTAATTTTTTATGTCGTAAAATTAACTACGTATTTCAAAGCAACATTTTCAAACAATGAGCAAACTTATGATAACAAATTGAATGTACACAATGCCGATCGAAAAAACGAAAAAATTAGTCAAACTCTTCGACCAAATTCCGCGAATGAAAATAAAACGAAAGAATGACGAATAAAAATGGAATGGCAAAATGTAGAAAATAGACAGGGCTGCTTTTAGAGTTACCACTAATAAACATTTAGGCATAATTGGCCATTTAAAAGCATTCAGCTCTTAATACCATGTTCTGACCGACAACGAAAACACTTTGTGGTTGGAAAGCTGTTCACACTCGTTGATAGTGTTTTCGTTGACAAAAAAACAAAATTAAACAGTTTTCCTTTATTTTCTTTTCATTAACAACCTTTAACTTTTATTCTTATTTTACTTTGGCCAGCCAATTATCAATAAGTCCGAAATGGCGTATTAAATATTATAAAACATGACTTCCATTTCGACAAATAATCATTAAAAACTAATGAAAACACCGACTGCAATCAGTGGAACGGCGCAAACAACCGCAATTGTAAACAAAGTACAGAGCCGCAACAATGTCCTCAAGTCGCTGGCCGGCAGCACTTGGGGCAAAGATAAAGAAACGTTGTTGGCAACCTACAAGGCAATTTGCCGGCCGGTTCTGAACTACGCAGCGCCCGTATGGTCGCCGGGGACTAGCAGGACGCAGTGGATGAAGCTGCAGACCTGCCAAAACACGGCATTACGAACTGCGACAGGATGCCTCCTGATGACGCCTCAACACCACCTTCACGACGAGGCCCAGATGCTCCCAGTAAAGGAGCATAACATAATGCTCTGCAAGCAGTTCCTCGCTGGGAGCCACAGACGTGGTCATCCCAGCGGGCAACTGCTCGCGGAAAAGCCCTCGCCACTGCACGTCAGGAGGCATCTTTACGAACCGACAGACGAAGTCCAGAGGTATATTAAACAACCACTGGACCCGTCAACCTACCGACAGGCCCTGAACGACATTCACAGGGAATCAGTCTCAAGTTATGTAGACTCCCGCCCTGTGAATGCCGTTCTAGGCACACAACCACCGGACGTGGACGGGACAGAACTTTGTCTGCCTCGGGAGACCCGCACTACAATAGCCCAACTTCGCTCTGGCTATTGCAGCAGGCTCAACAGCTACCTGAGCAGAATCAACGAGGAAGTGCCCAACCAATGCCCGGCATGTGGAGAGTAGCCACATGACTCCCGGCACCTCTTCACATGCCCTGAGAATCCCACTCAGCTAACGCCCCTGTCCCTATGGACAGCCCCTCTAGAAGTAACACACTTCTTGGGCCTCCCCCTTGCTGAAATAGACGACAACGTTGATGGATGAACCACCCCGAACGGGGCTTAGTAGCCGCTACAACAACAACAACAAGTGGAACGTGAGTTTTCAAGTAGTTTTCAGCGAAAACTGTTTTTCGTTTGACAGATTTTACATGGACGAAAACACAAGTTTTAGGTCTAAAACTAGTTTTAGCAACGAAAACATGTTTTCGATTTCGGCCAGAACATGGAATAAAGTACATGATGCGAATGGCGAAAAACCATGATACAAATATTTAAAGGTAAAACCATTCTACAGTTTTATAAGTAAAAACACTATCAGCTGTGCTCTTATCTTTTACTATTTCTTTCATTTCTATTACAACTTCTTTTATTTCTATCATGATACAAATCTTTAAGGGTAAAACCGCTCGCTCAATTCGCCCACCATTGTTTTTTTTGACGTTTGCTTGCATTAGTTGCGTTCCAGGTGCTCACGATATTCACGATTTGCAGGTTTTTTTGCAGGAAAGCGTTCCGGGTGCCAAAAAACCTGTTGGTCAAACCACTTTTGTAAAAGTAAGGGTCTGATTATGCATATTTCGCACAACCATTTGTACCAGTGCACTAAAAATGTAACTTAAGAAAATGTAAAGCAAAATCTAAACTCAACAGATCGATAAGTTTTTAAAAGTTCTGCTAATTTCTGGGTAATGGAATACATACAAAGTACATACGAAATTACAGTTTGAAGTTTATGCGAAGTTGTGCGAAGTTATGCGAAGTATGCATAATCAGACCATAACTTGCTCTCTCTCTCAGTCAGAAGTTGCAGGTTTTAAGGCTCTGTTATGCATACTTGGCATTGCATGCACTGCTATACCATTTTTACGTAGAAATCAAAAACCAACAGACTTTTACGTATGTAATACTGTGCGTTGGGTAACCGCTTACACGCAAAGCTCATATAACAGATTTCTTATGTGACAGCTCTCAAGCCATGCCAAGTATGCATAACGGAGCCTTTAGTCCGAAGTTTTTCTTCCGGTAAGTTCATGAAAAGTGTCAAACGATAGGCAGGGTTGCATTTGTAAACAAAAACAGAACCTTAAGCGCCACGGAGACAATCAAATAAATACGTCAAGTATTGCATATGCATGAGATTGGCCCGCAAACGTTCAAATAAACTCGTCAATTAAACAAACAATTTATTTTTCTTGTCCGCGCACTTGCTCACCACGACGAGCAGAAGGCAAGTGCGCTTGTTTTTTGTCAAGCATAACGCGAGAAGGT